AAACTCAAAAACATAGAACCTGGAACTTGAAAAAGTACAAAAGGAACGACTTCCAACACAAAACGACTCATTATGGAGTCCTTGATGAAGAGAAAGGCCCCCATGAGGCTCTTCTCATGGGGGTCTCTCCAGTGCTAACTGACCTAGCTCGGTACGAGTGTAAGCTCAGTGCACAATCAGAGCCTTTAAACCGGCTCCCAAACAACAGTCAAGTATTATCTACTTTTAAATCAGTAACGTATTTCTTATTAACATTTGCGAAGGTTAACTTAAGGGTTGTTATAATGGTGTCTGACACAGTGTCTCTATACAAAAATGTTCAGTTCTTAGTCCACACGCTGGATCAGATCACTGTGATTGTTTATCTTATCACATGAGTTTAAACGAGAGGCACGTTTGGAGAAGCGGCATGTCTCCAGCCTCATGACGAAATCCGCTGAGTTTTTTCCGTGCTATCTCTCCGTGTGCATTGGGGTTACTTCGTTTGGCCTCCTTCGTCACCCAGGACAGTCTGTCCAACTTCTCCATCTGCGCTGCCGTGTGGGAACCATCGTTGCTAGTAGTATAGTCAGGCGCGAGACCCCTCTTCTGCAGATCCTTCATGGCGTCCGCCGCAGTGCTGTACGTGATCGGGCTACCATCAAAAAACACACCGCTTAGCCGGCGGTGGAGTTTGGAAGCGGAGACCTTTTTCTTTCAGAAGTTTTCTAATAGGGGCRTAAGCTTTCCTCTTCTTTTGATTCTCTGCCAGATAGTCCTGATCGAAATAAACCCGCTGCTGGTTGAGGCGAATTTCTCTTTTCTTCCACACGGTGCGAAGCACCAAATCTCTGGTTCTAAATGCCAGAAAGGAGATCACCACAGAGCGGGGGCTCACATTCTGCGTTGGTTTGGGACCCAAAGCCCGCTAGCAGTGTTGTATAGCCAGGTCGAAATCTTGGAGTGACAGCTCAGCCTTAATGAAACCGTCCATAAATTCCAGCAGATTATCTCCCTCTGTATGTTCCGGAATCCTGTACACACGGATATTATTTCTTCGTGAGCATGCTTCTAGATCAGTCAGTTTGGCTTGAATTTTATCTTGGTTGTTAATAGTTTGAAACAGCACCTCTTTCGCCGCTGCGGTCCACTCCTCCATTTCTGCCACACGTTGTAAAGACTCCTCCGTTCTGTTTTGATTCTCTTTTATGTCTGACACAACTTCCTTTAGTTTTCCATTAATCTCCTCTTGAAAAATTTCTTAAATCTCTCTTCATGTTGGCGGTGAAGTCATCACGAAAGCAGCACAGCTCTTCCTTCATGTCTTAATGGATAGCTACGATCTCTTTGTGGATAGCTCCGATGCTAGCTTGAAGCCCTTCCATAGCCATGTGCTGGTCTGGTGCGCCTTTGTTGAGTAATGAAGTTCTCTCGCCTGTTTCTTCTGTCTGTTTTGATTTCCCGTTACTTTTTGATGCTTTTCCCCTTTTCATCATAAAATAGTCGGTCTTAGTGAGTTAATTCAGCTCTGGCAAAGGGGAATTAGCCGACCGAGTTGGGAGCTCTGGTTCAATACGTCTGCTCACCTCAGCGCCATAACTGGAAGTCCCAATTTTTTAAAAAAGAAATTTGGAAAGGTGTCAAATAGGGATACACGATATATCGGCACTAATTTCAGTATCGGCCGATTTTGGTCATTTTCTAGAATATCGGTATCGGTCCGATTTGTAAAACTGGGCAGATATTACTGTCCGATATTGATTTCCCATTTTTGAGCTTTGTGTTTGTGTTTTGGGAGGGGAGATGGTTGGTTGAGCAGAATCTTTTTGATCGTGATAGTGATATTGACGCTGCGCAGCCAGGAATAACTGAAGTAGGGAGCCATGTCAGAGGTCTGGTTGTTTATTTAAGGTATCAAAAAAAGACCCAAGTGTGTTTGTGTGTATATGTATAATATAATTTGTGAGTTTGTGTAAATAAAATAAATAAAAACAAATAAAATCGGCAAATATCGGTTATCGGCCATAACAGCAATAATTATATCGGCTATCGATATTGGCTGAAATTTTCATATTGGTGCATCCATAGTRTCAAACTTTAACCTCCATCAACTTTTCTTCTCTAAAGTTAATTTGGAATTTTCTTTGAAAATCGAAGCTGATAAAATGCTTTGGTGTGTGAACTGTATAAGAAATGTAAAGACAAACAAAATCAAAGTGTTAAAGCTGCTGCAACTGACTTTTAGGGTCACTGTGGTAACAACGCACACCCCGACAGCACTCTCAGTGACAGGCAGACAGAGCAGCAGTGTATGTGTCTGTCAAAAACTATAAGTACTTTTACAAAACAGTTCTGCAAAATGGCCACAAAAACCAGCCCATCGTTAAGCTGCCTCTGACCTTTCAACAATCAATAAACGACCACATCCTGCAGAGGCGAGGTTTTAAAAATGAAGCGAGTATCTAGGTCTGTCACAATAAAAAATAAATCAATTAATCATATGATAAATTAAATTGAGGAAGATATATTAAAATGAAGACAAATTTTCATTTGCCTGCTTGTTTGTTTTCTTCGTGTCTCCCTCTTTTCTGCTCCTTAGCCTAGAGAGGAGTGAACTCAGGTGTCTGGTATTTGTCAGGTGCATGGTCTCCTAACCTCTGTAGCAAGAGAGCCTGCGAACAGGCTTTTAGCCAAAGGAGCATCTTCAGTTTTCTTATGCCTTCATACAGCTGGTGACCAGTGGTGGCTGGTGGATTTTTCTCCAGGGAGGGCTACAAATCCAAAATAGTGTCATCTGCAAAAGCATTCGAACATGCACTAAGTTGTATCATGCCAGTGTATTTATAATAAAACAGCATTACTATGTCATGTAGTGTTTTATTTTCTGTACATAAATTTTGCCCTTCTGTTACTGAGAAGCAAATTTCWTCATGACTCTGGTTAAAGTCAGGGATGTTTTAAYMWGATTCTTCTCTATAGAGAGCATGGTCAGTGCAGTGAGGTGTGATGTTGTACCTGAGGAAAGTCTGGATTCTCTTCAGTGTTGAGAAGCTCCTCTCAGATTCAGCTGTGGTCAAAGGAGATGTGATGAGAATCTTCAGCAGAGTCACAGTCTCTGAGATGTCCTGCAGATTGTTCTCCATGAAGGGCTGGTACAGAGACACATCACTGCAGCTTCTGGACTAGATCAGACTTCTTGGTCCTGTTCAGCAATGGGTGAGCCTCCATGGTCTTCAGAGCTGCTTCAGAAAATTGTCTGTGATCCCGCAGGAACCTGCCTGCCTGCAGTACTGTTGCTGTGATCAGATGTTTTATGAATGGCTCAAGTTGATGTCACAATCACAAACCTAAAACAATAAATACACAGATTTAATTCAATGTGGAGATGGCTACAAGTGAGCTTTCTAATATATAATTAATACAGTATATAGAG